CTGAAGTCGAAGAAGTCTGCAAAGACGGATTCGAATGGGGATGACGGAGGAGATGATGGCAGAGGGGGGGTGGCTGCCTGTGAGGGTGCATTTCTGTTGCAGTCTGCGCAGCCCTCCCGAGTGTTGCGGATATCCTGTGACATCCCTGGCCAGTAGACGATGGCGCGGGCTCGCTGTTCCATGGAAGAGGTTCCTTGATGGGCTGCGTGCAGGCTCTGTAAGACTCGACGGCGTAGGGACGGGGGGACGACGATGCGGTCCTGGTAAAGTAGTACGCCCTCTGCTGCGTAGAGAGACTCGCAGATGGGCCGAAGGCTTGTCAGGGTAGGGTCGTCACTGGTGATTGGTTTTCTTTGCTCGACTGAGGTGAGGAGGGGGCCCAGGAAGGCGTCTACAGCTGTTTCTGTTGCAAGGAGAGACCAAGGGATGGCGCCTAGCTCGTGGGTGTCGTTGCGGATGGTGTTTATCAAGGCCGATTCTGCGATGTCGGGAAAGCTGGGTGATCCAAGAGAGACAATGTTCTCTGTGCAGGATGGGGAAGGGTGTCTTGAGGCGGCATCGGCCGCGTGGTTACTCTTGCCGGGTAGGTGTCTGATCTCGAAGCGCCATGGGAGAGTGCGCTGTTTTAGGCGGAACATGCGCGAGTTGGTGATTTCATCTAGAGTGCGGTCACCAAAGTTTTTTACAAGTGGTTTGTGGTCGGTGACTATCACGAGGTTGTCGCAACCTTGTGCGAAGTAGCGTGTCTGCTCTAAACCCCAGGCAACTGCGAGGGCTTCTCCTTCAATAGCGGCGTAGCGCTGTTCAGCAGAGTTCAAGAAGCGGAAACCGACCAATGTGATTTTCCATCCCCCAGGGCAGCAGTCGGGAACGCCGGAGAGGCAAATGCAGTGTTGTTGAAGGAGGAAGTAATCGATGCCACGCTTGGACCAGTCAGGGCGAAGACAGGTGCGCCTCTGCATGTCGAAGATTTCTACCCCCTGGCGGATAGCTGCAATGATGGCTGCCTTGGAAGCTTGAAACGCTGCCTCAAGCTCAGGGGACCAGGAGAATATACAGCGGGGGCTGAGAAACGGCTTGAAGGGAGCCATTGAGTTACGTAGCTGGGCGTAGTTGGAAACCTGGTTGACCAGGCCAAACCAACTCCTGATATCTGTGGTAGTGGTAGAAGAGGGGAGGTCCTTTATGGCGTCTAGGTACTTGGGGAGTGGTTCTATGGTGCTATCAGACACTCTGGACCCTGCGAAGTCCACGCTCCTCTCTGCGAACTGGAATTTGTCAGGGTTGAGCACTATCCCTGCATGGCCAACGCGGGTGAGGAAGTCGATGGTCTTCCACCAGTGTTCTTCTAGGTCTGTGTCAAAATGGACTGTGTC